CAAGCCCCGCATTGGGCTCCCTGCTCAGCGGGAAGCCTGCTTCTCCCTCTCCCCCTCCCCCTGCTTGTGTTCCCTCTCTCGCTGTGTCTCTCTCGGTCAAATAAATAAACAAAAACTTAAAAAAAAAAGAAAATGTGGAGAAAAGAGAACCTTTGTACACTGTTGGTGGGAATGTGAATTGGCACAGTCACTATAGAAAAATTTCATTGATTTATTGTCTTTTTGGTCTCTATTTCATTTATTTCTGCTCTGATCTTTGTTAATACCTTCATTCTACTAACTTTGGGCATCATTTGTTTTTTTAAGTTCTCGTTACAAGACAAACTGTGTAATGATGGATGTTAACTAGACTTACTGTGGTGATCATTCCATAATATAAACAAATATCAAATCATTGTTATATACCTGAAATTAATGTTATGTGGATTAGATCTCAAATCACACACTGCAGTACCCTACTGTGAAATAAAGATATTTTTGGATTAATCATCCCCCCCCCCAAAAAAAATTTCAGGTCAAAGAATGCTGAAGTCCTTCTGCAGGGAATCAGAGACAGCTTCACAGAGCAGGCCTGGCCTCAGAGCTTCATTTCACATGTGCCCCAAAGTGTCAGAGTGAAGCCAAGCAGGAGTGAAGATGGGGACACCCCCTCAGGGTGACATCTATCCATTCAACTCAGTATCTACAGAACACAGATAAAATGCTGAATATTTGCATGGTCTCAGGACAGTCCCCAAAGAATCCATTATATGTGGAACTCTTTTTACATCTTTTGCGTGTAGGGTACTTTTTCTTAAAGTCTATAATATGATTTGCTATAGTATCAAAAGACAAAATAAAAAGAGCTGCATTGTTCTGTGTGGGGAAAAAAATTAAAACTCTTGTCCTTGGGGAACTAGAATAATTTCCCGGAGAAATCTACTTTTATTGAAAACTGCATGTGAGTTCCATGGGCAAGAGGCAAAGCAGAATTGTATAGCACATATGGAAATGTGTGACAACCAATTCTCATCAGTTTAAGTGAAGAATCTTTGAACGGTAAGAGTCTGAACGTTGTTTTATAAGAGAATAGAGCATGATTTATAAACAGACTTATTTGACAAATTGCCTATCAGAAAGCAAATTATCTCCTCGTGGAAATTCAATGCAACATCTTTGCTAATATGCTAACTAAAGGTTAGTTTCTCCCTTCCCTACTATACTTAACTGGTGGTGTCACATCACCAAGTTTTGTTTTGTTTTCCTAGACTGCCTCTTAATCCTCCAGGTGGTTGTGTTTTCAGGTTTGGCCTAAGAATTTCAAGTCAGAACCAGAGCCCCATACCCTCCACCAAGGCCCCACTGGGACCTGATCTCACAAAGCATTCTCATGAGTTTAGATGAAAATCCTACAGTACGTATCTCCCCATAGCTTCCCAAGCAGTATACTAGATTGGGAGGAAAATACTGAGATGACAGAGAACAGAGAGGTGGGGAGAACACCCATGCTCTGAATAGAGGTGTCAGTTGGGAATCTAAGAATGTGGGTTATTTTGAGAGACCGCATATCAGTGTCATGCAAAATGTTTTATTATCTCTTTTTTGGTGATTTTTTTCCTCTTTTTTTTAAGTAGGCTCCACAGCCAGCATGGAGCCCAACGCAGGGCTAGAGCTCACAATCCTGAGATCAAGTCCTGAGCTGAGATTATGAGTCAGCCAGGTGCCCCCTTTTTTTTGGTGATTTTATAAATGCGCCAGGGAGCCAGAGTTCTAATAGTCTGGAAGAGGAATAGTGACTTCTGATTTTCCAGCATTCGACTTGGCTGGCAGAGGTACCTCTCAGCACTGCCCAGGGGTCACACTGAGGTCACTCGTTCAGCCTCTATCCTTCAGCCCTGGGTTGGGTCAGGAACGTAATAATTTTACTCCTGATAGATTTTAGATCACAGCTAAAGATGGAATGAAGAGAAAACCAAAGACTCAAAGCTAGAGTTCAAACACACATACCTAGCTGTAAGTGAGTTATATACTGACTGATAAGATATGGCCTAAAGCTTCTATTTGGGCAGGCCTCCCTAATTATGGGAAGAGTGAATGACGTGGCATGCCTCAACACTGCTGGTGGGCGTGCAAACTGAAGAATCTTTGACCAAGTAATTATACCTATAGGCATCTACCATGTAGAACAACTCATACAAGAGTATGAATATAAAACAAATGAAGATATTTACTTCAATGCTGTTTGTCCAAGTGAAAAGTTGGAAACAACCTGAAAATCCACAAAAAGGGGTTTGATTGAAAAAAATGAAGGTAAATGCAGCACATGTGCAGCCTTTTTAATAAAATTAACAGTGTGCAGCTGTCCTGATCATATAGTATGATCTCACTGTTGGAAAAATTATCACAGCATATGTATGATGTCAATTTATGAATAAAAATATCTGGAAGGAGATGCTCTAAGCAGTTAGCAGCAGACATTAGGGAAAAAGGGGAGAGGGGGAAAGGAGACTGACATTCCATCTTAAATACCTATGTTATTCTGTATTATTAAATTTCAAAAACTATTATTTTCATAACTAAAATAAATCAATACTTTATTTTAATAGCTTTTGATTTCTAGGTCCTTAATTTAGTAAAAGAACAAACTAAGTAAAAGCAACAGAATGAAAGTTTTAGATACCTGGACCTTTTAACTGCTTCTATGAAAGAGCACATGAAATCTGCTTTCCATACTGATCAAGTGCCATCCCTTCCATGCACAAGGGGGAATTTGTGTGGGGTGTGAGTCGACAGGTTTTATTTGCTTGCACTAAAGCATTTGGTTTTGATTAGAATCCAACTTAAATATTTACTTTATATTTACAAAATAACAAGACATGAAACTATACTCTGGAAATTAAAATGCATATTCTTGAACAGAGAGGGAGAGGGTTATAATATATGATTGGGAGTACAATTACTGGGTTTAAAAATACAGAGCAATTTGGTTGCATTAAAACCCCATATACTAGGATGCCTGGGTGGTTCAGTCAGTTAAGCGTCTGACTCTTGATTTCAGTTCAGGTCATGATCTCAGGGTCTTGAGATCAAGCCCCACATCAGGCTCTGACTCAGAGTGGAGGCTGCTTGGGATTCTCTCTCTGTCCCTGTGTCTCTCCCTCTGCCCCACTCCTCCCCCCCGCCCCCAGCTTGCATGCATGCTCTCTCTTAAAAAAAACAACAAAAACAAAACAAAACACCCCATATACTAGTTCCCTAACTATGTGGAAAATCATAGTCAAAGCTTTTTCCAGTAAATGCAGAGTAGGTTCCTAATCTAGTTCTATTATTATAGAAACAAATTAAACATTTTTTTTGGTAGAGGATTAAGTGAAGATACACAATCATACTGAGAGAGGATAATGTAATATGCCTTAGTGACAATACATAAGCAACATAGCAAATAAAGAAGAACCACTAAATGTCATGTTAAAAGCCCTTATAACAGTGTGCTTTCTCATGAGCCATGCCTACCCAGGCAAAGTTGAGTAGAAAACAAAAAGAATTATCTGGATGATTTGAGGAAAGCATTACTTTGGCCTGACCTATCTAGACACTTGAGGCAAATGGGTCTCCCAACCTCACAAAATTATCGAGATAATCTTCTCAGTTCTTTACTTTATCTCCCCACTTCACTGGCAGGTACCATCTACACATGGATGAGAATAGACTACAACTTGACCTTTATAGTGATTGCTATTCTTTAGAAAGCCTGGTGGCCATAGTCCCCACAGGCCCTTTAGCCCACTTGGCACAGTTTAGTACCCGTGTGTGGATGGGTCATGGTTGGATTATGTGTAGAAGCAGGTCAGGATTTTCCCGGTTTTTCTTTATTAGTGTTTCATAATTAACAAAATCATGACCTGCTTTGGTACCAGAAACCTTGCTTCTGCATAAACAACTTGCTTTTCAGTTGGATTATTTTCACTGAAAAGGAGAGAGACACTGTGCAGGAACAGAAAACAGTGTTTTAGGACCATTGGAAAATTGGAAAGCTTATGGTGATTTTTATATTTGTGTTGTTCGTTATTTTCTTGAAACCATGTGTTCTGATATTTTTTTTTCTGACATAACCTCACTCGGTGTCACTCTACCATTTAATGAAATGGAAGATAACCACTCTTGTATACTCTAAAATGGACTTTGTGATGATCTGGTAAACTTTAAATTTGTAAGACTTAGAAGATGTTCAGGAAGCGCTTGTGACTTCAATTAGGAGTTTCAGAGAATCTCATCTGTAAAATTATTTTTAAAAAACCTAGACAATAAAATCAAATTTGGACAAGGTGTTACATAATTACCTTAAAACATACAACTTAAAACCTCCCAACGTTCAGAGAAAAATAGCTGTTTCACACTGAATAGTCTCAGAATGCTTCATAATTTTCTCACAACAAAAAATAAATCGCAGAAATGTTGGCCTTTTCCACATTCCTAGCCTTTGACTTTTGTTTCCAACCATGAGGATGAAGAAAATAAATGAAGAGGCTATAAGTCAGGAATCTGTAGAAATTCCTCTCTCTACTGAAACTCGTTTTGCAAGTGACATTTAACATTCCAGAACTGTTCAGGGAGGTATGGAACAAAGTTGTTTTTATATGTCAAGGGGGTCAATTTTGCAAAAACAGTAGTAAAGGCAATATACTTGGAGAATAATGAAGTTGTACTAAACACCAATGTAAAAATATATTCAAACTAGGGGAGAATTTGCTATTGTTAAACTAATTGTACCAAGTGCAAAACAATTCTTCTCTATGAAGAAATTAATGATCCCCAACTCTTTCTCCACTGAAACACACGCTTGAGTAAAACTCACAGATGAAGATAAATTCTTTGAGATCTCAATTATCTTTTACTATATTCTAAATCTAGGACATTAATTTCAGGGTATGTAGAAATTTAAATAAGATGGTGTTCTTTTTCATCCTAAAGCAAGTAGTGAGTTTGATTGCCCACCCCTCCCCCCAAATACCACAACTTACCACAGAGTTCTTCTGTGTCAAGATTGCTGAAAAGAAAAAAAAAATTGTTGTTACTTTGGTAATATTTAAGTCTTTAAATACTTACAGTTATTCCCCCAATCTATAGTACTATATTAATAGGTGTAATTATGGTATTTCTTATATTCTACATTGCTTAAATAGTCATGTGAGCAATGATTACATCAGATTCCATCTCTGAGCAAATAATTCCTGGGGTTTGTGTTTCCCCCAGTATCATGCTGGGGAATACTGCCTAATCGTGAAGAACATAGACTCTGGAGCCAGAATGCCTGAGTTCAAATCCTGACTTTACCATTTACCACTCATGTGACCCTGAATGGACTTCTTTGCATCCCAGGGCTCAGTTCCTCAATCACAAGATGGGGATAATAAGTTCTGTTTCATATGAATGCAATAGGAAGTAAATGGGTTAATACATACAAAGCAGTTAAAAGAGTAACTGACACAAAATAAGCACTCAATAAATGTTAGCTATCAGGATTTCTGATTTGGTAGAACTGCTAGAACTTCCATATCTAAACTCAACCTATGAGGTAAGTTTGACTCCATGCCTTTTTGGAATGATTTCTGACACATAACAAAGAGTTACATGGCTTAATACTTACATGTAAACAATAGTTACCTCTTACTCTTATGAAGATAAATATAGAATAGCAGATGAAATATTAGCAGATATAATACATTCCTATCAGAATAATGTCTTGACCATGGCAGGCATGGTGTAGGAATGCAAGAATGGTCCAAAGTCAAGCAATAAGTCAATTTAAGGTTACATTATAACTTAGAGGAGAAAACTGCTATTTAACACTAGATGGGAATTTAATAAAATTCAACACTCACTCCTAATTTTAGAAAGTTTAATGAAATTGGAATAAAAGTAAACCTCTTAAAGATTATAAAGACTTATTAAAAGTCAACTGCAAACATCAACTAACTGAAAATCTTTGATTTTATTCAGCTGCCACAGGTGAAAACCCAATGTAAATAACTGTCATAATCCAGTCCTCCTCTATGTGGCAGTCAGGGCTGCTGGGCTGGAGGGGTACTCGTGGGAGCATTCCAAACACTGGGTCTTTTTACCAGTTCCATCACTAGTTGTAATACAATCTTAACTTCAGTATTTTATCCTCAGACACTGAATATTTGATCTTGGATAAAGGACATCTCCTCACTTAAGCAGGTCTTTTTGTAAAGTATTTGCCACCAGACAGAACACATAAAACCTTCTGCAGTAGTTTCGGTGTGGGTTTCTATTCATTCATTCATTTTTCCCACAGGCATTCATTGCTATGTACTAGGGACTGTTCTAACCACCACAGATGGATCAGGTTGCAACAGATACTGAGATGAGTAAGTCTGATCACTAGTCTCTAGCAGCTGGATTTAGAGGTAGACTTCTACAGTAGATAATTAAAATGTGATAAAATAATTGCTATGGGGTAAGTGGCTAATGGCAAGGTTATCAGGGACTATAGAGGATGAAATTTTGAGGCTAAGTCTCACGGGTTAAATAGGAGTAGAAAAGGCAGACAAAGGAAGAACATTCCAGTTAGAAGAAACACTATTTGCAATAAAAGTTACAAATGCGAGGAGTTCTTTTGGCTGGAACATAGATCATTAATGAAGAAATGGGACTAAAAATGAAAAGCCTCATGTGATCATCTAAAAAGTTTCTATGTTCTCTTGTCAACTTAGAATCATGGAGGATTTTAAGGTAGGGGAGTGACATCATCAGATTTATACTTTAGGAAGGTCACTAAACGCTGAGTTGAGGTTAGGCAAAAAGAGGGTAGAAAAGAGGCCAAGAGAACAGTTTGGACGTTATTACTATAGTCTGGGCCAGTTGATCCCAGACTAGAGTATACCCAAGGGGTGTGCAAGGCCATCCAATGGGGGCAAGAAGAAATACTTGGACATCACACACACACTTTTAAATTTTATTTTGAAATAATTTCAAACTACAAAAAAAAGTGCCCTTCACCTAACCATCTCCCCAGTTGTCAACATTTTATTTCACTTATCACATTCTTTTTCTATTTGTTTCTTCAAATCATTTGATTGTACATTGCAGATAATGATATCCCTTTACCCCTAAATGCTTCAGCGTGTAGTTTCTACAGATAAGTACATTCTCTTACGTACAAGTGAGAAAATTAATATTGATTCAATGCCATTATAAAATCTAGCAGTTCTCAAATATCTGTATTTATATTTAACCTTACATTGTTTTCATTTCTTTTTGTGTAATTTTACAGTGTATAAGTATTAATACAGTGGTGCATACATAGGATTTGATTTGTAAGTCTTCAAATATCAAGATTTCAAACCAAAATGCATTACCTAATATGGGAGCTTGATCAGAGGTATAGGACGAATAGGCAATGATGGGGAGAGGGGCAAAAAGAATAGACAGATGTGAAGGATTTTGAGGTAAAACCATCAAAGCTTGGAATCTTATTGGATTCAGAATTAGATCACTTAGACATTTTTAGTATCATTTCAAACATTTTGGTCATTAAAACTTACATGTCATTTCCTAACCTTAGTGTTTTCATAGAACTTCAGACTTGGAAAAGGACATTAAAGGTCACTTTGTTTTTGTATTTTCCTCAGAATGGTTCACAGGTTCATAATGGCATTTTTAATTTCAAAGGAATGAACAGTCCAATCCATTACAAAAATTGAATTACATGGAATATATCATAAAACATAGCTCAGAGTTGGGGTGCCTGGGTGGCTCAGATGGTTGAGTGTCTGCCTTCGGCTCAGGTCATGATCCCAGGGTCCTGGGATTGAGCCCCACGTCTGGCTCCTGGCTCAGCGGGGAGCCTGCTTCTCCCTCTCCCTCTGCCTTTCCCCCTGCTCATGCTCTCTTTCTCTATCTCTGTGTCTCAAATGAATAAGTAAAAAAATCTTTAAAAAAAATAGCTTAGAGTAATTTGCATGACATTAGTTCTACATATTCCTTAATAAAAGGCTATGTTCATAAAGTACTATAATGATCCCCTCAAACATTCCTTTATTTAGCGGTTTCTGTGCTATGTTGTTTGTTGTGCGTAGTAAAGCATGGTTCTTTTTACAGTAGACTTACATGGGTGAATTCTATAGAACTGATTTCTTACGAGATAGCTCCATCCTGTAGTAACAAAGGATTGTAAAGAAAGAGTAAGCCATAGATAAGTCTACAGTATATCTGAGAGTGTGTGATATTGTTCATGTTTATAATAAGAAAACCTACAATCTTTTAGCTATGCCATTTTTTTAAAAAAAGAAAGCTAAATGGAAAGAATAAATGCTAGTCACATAGTAAACATTCTTACTGAAACAGAACCAGAGGGGTGTTACTATCAGAAGGCATTCTCAGCTAGACGCCAAGGAGGGATAAAGAACAGAGACAGTGACTGCAGCCTGACTGACAATTGTGAAGGAGAGAAATGGAAACAAACTAAGTGCTCATTAGCTGAATAACTAAGCAAACATCATATCATTATAAAATCATTAAAATGTATCTAAAGAGTTGTCAATAGCTTGAAAAAAAGCTTATGTTTAGAAGTTATGTAAAAAGGGGGGGGAAGATGGCAGAGGAGTAGGGGACCCTATTTCAACTGGTCCCCCAAATTGAGCTGGATATCTACCAGACCACTCTGAGCACCCACAAAACCAACCTGAGATGTAAGAAGATCTGGATCTCTACAAACAGAATATCGCAGGCGGTTGGTTTTGAGGTAGGAAGCGGGGAGCCGTGATTCTGCAGGCAGATATGGAGGATAAACGGCAGTGGGAGGGTGCCTGGATGTGGGGATCCTACATAGACGGTGAGTGACAGCCTCGCACACTGGGGACGGGGCACAGACTAGCAGACCGGTAGCGGCGGGGAAAGGACTTTAGGGCAGCCCCTGGGGCGGAAACCAGGAGCTGCGGGGTCGTTCGCAAGTGAACTGGGAGCGGCTGGCGGTTTTAGAAGCACAAAGGGCAGAGACGTGCCCTGACCTGGAGGCAGGACTGGGAGCGCTCGGAGGGGCGCACAACCCAGGACACTGAAGTTTATAGCACACGGACAGAAACGGAGACGGTGTGGCCTGGAGAGCACACTGAAGAACAGACTGAGGTCTCTCTGCTCTGAGGCAGAGGGTTGGAAACAGTCTCTTCTGCTCTGACTCGTGGAAGAGACGCGGAAAGCCGCAGGGAAAGCCGCCAGAGAACAAAAGCCCAATAGACTGATTCCCGCTGAGCCCATCCCCGCCACAGGGGGACAGGGCAACTCGCCCAAACAGGGTTGCCTGAGTAACAGCGTGGCAGGCCCCTCCCACAAAAGACAGGCTGGGAAAACAAGAGGCCAGCAACCCTAAGGTCCCAAGAAAACAGATGCATCTTGCTTGGGTTCTGGTCAATAATTTGGACGCTATACATTCCCTCAAACACCCATCAACAGAATGACTAGGAGGAGGAGCCCCCAAAATAGAAAAGACTCAGAGATTATGACTTACACTGCAGATTTACAAATGATGCAGATATAACCAAGATGTCGGAGATGGAATTCAGGCTAGCAATTGTGAAGACAATGGCTAGAATGGAGAAATCAATTAATGGCAACATAGAGTCTCTAAGGGCAGAAATGAAAGGTGAATTGGCAAGAACTTAAAAATGCTATCAGTGAGATCCAATCCAATCTAGATAATCTAACAACTAGGGTAACTGAGGCAGAAGAGTGAATAAGCGACCTGGAAGACAATATAATAGATAAAAAGGGAAAAGAGGAGGCCAGGGAAAAACAACTCAGAATCCATGAAAATAGAATCAGAGAAATAAGTGACACCATGAAGCATTCCAATGTCAGAGTAATTGGAATCCCGGAGGGAGTGGAGAGAGAGAGAGGACTAGAAGATGTATTTGAGCAAATCATAGCTGAGAACTTCCCTAATCTGGGGAATGAAACAAACATTTGAGTCCTAGAGGCAGAGAGGACCCCTCCTAAGATCAAGGAAAATAGGCCAACATCCCAGCA